AACGTTTTTCATAGTTTTGGATGGATATGCTAGGTAATTAAAGGTATTCCTAACCAAGATCTTAAAAATCATTTAATAGCTAAATTAGAAAAATGATGGTTAAGCTGGGAGCAACTATTGCTACTTTTATCTTTTATTTTACATCCTACTTATCATACTATCTATTTTAATCAAAATCTTGATAGAATTTCTTTTGTATATGTGGGAAAATGGCTCAAACATTATTATAAATCTTGGTTTAAGAAACCTTCACGTTCTATTTTACGTGAATTACAATGTTATGAAAATCAAGAATACCCATTTGATAAAGAAACTTTTGATCATTTTGGTGGTGATGTATTATTATATTGAAATTTTTGTAAGGGAGTAGCTGTAGAATTACATGTTGTAGCTATTCGTATTTTTTCAATTTATATAACAACTGCATCAGTAGAACGATTGTTCTTAGCTATGGGATGGTATCATTCACCATGACGTAACCGACTTAAGGTAAATATATACAGAGATCTCTCTCTAAATGCACCTCCCTCGGGGTATAGTGAAAATTTTTAAAAATATGCACTTAGAGAGGGTGTGCATTTATAGAGAGAAAAATATATAGTGCAATTATAAACTGGGACTAAATTATACTATGCATTTAAAGAGATTTTATATAAAGGGTGCATTCAAAGAGGATGCACTTAGAGAGGTCTCTCTGTATTATTTATTTATTTTTTATAATTTTAATTTTGTTATTTTATATTTGTATAATTTAATAGTCTGAAAAAGTTCTTGCCATGAGCCAAATAAGATCAGAACTTATATGTTCATGAAATATTGCAGCTATTGACAAGTTATTAAGAACATATAAACAAACTATTGCCACTCCAATTAATATACAATATGAAGAAATGAATCTTGATGAAAATACAGAAGAAGACGCAGAAGAGGAGATTCAGGTGGATATTAATCAATTAGAAATTGTTACCTCTGTAAATGATTAGAAAGCAGTTGTAGAACAATGGATTAATCTAACTGAAGAAGAAGATGATGAATGTATGAACAACTATTCGAATAATTCAAGTGAATCAGAAGCTTTGGCTGATTTATATGAAGAAGAAATACTTTAAGATTATACGATTCATCCTGCTGACAATTTGGAAATGAAATAGAAATTAGCAGATATTTTTACGAATTCATTGGTACGACCTAATTATATTAATTTGCTTTTGGGAGATTAATAGTATAAAGGTATTTTTATAGTATTCATATAAAAGGCATTGAACTTAAATAAATATATATATATTATAAGTTTAGTAAATATGCAGCTTTGCTTATTTTATTATTGAATTACAATAAATATATTTTAATACAAAACTATTTGTAATTTTTAACTATATAAATAATAAATAAACTTGTGATATTATAACAAAATATATGAGATTTTGATAATTTAGTAAGTTTAAAAAGTCTTTGCTCTTTAAAGTTTATTCATATTATAATTATAATCTATACTAGAAATTGTATTTGTGAAAGAAATTTTTATCCGGATATATATTATTAAATTATCTAGTTATCTAGATAATTTATTATAGCTATAAAATAAAAATTCTACCTAGATATATATGGGTACTATATTCGTACAAGCTATGTATAATATATTATATCAAATACAACAGTAAATTTGGACATAAATTATTGAGATGTTCGTTGTATAATTTAAATAAAAATTTGAAATCAGCCTTGATAAATTTAGATATATATCGACAATAATAATCCTGAATTTGAATAGATAGATATTAAAGTCAAAAAAAAAAAATCAATTTAATAATTCACGAGTAATACAGGTAAGTTTATGTAAGGTTTGAATTCACGTTAATTAAGAATGCTCGAATTATTTAATCAAATTAATTTGATCTTTACTAAAATTATTGGTATTTTAAAAGTTACTATATATTTATAAAGATAAACATATTTTATATCGAAAAGCTTGTTTTCTAATTTTATTAATATCTGCAACTGTGTAATATATTCGTAAGACTAATCATTAGATATTAGATTTTGGTACAACTATTTCTAACCAATCAAAATTTATAATTATTGTTATACAAATCACATGTTATTATTTGGACTAAGCATATATGTCCAATTAAAAAATATAGACAATATAGACATAGTCCATATCTGTCCATGTCCAATTGTTCATATTGTCCATATCCATAACTTAACAACACTGGTAACTGTGGTATTACAGAAGACTGCGGCTATGAAGATTGCGCAAATAAGTCCTTCGAGATGGGGCAGTACCAATATTCTTATATCTCCAGTTTAGGTAATACCAATGTCCTTATATCCAACTTGTGGGGTACTTGCTTGGAAGGGTGGTTAATGAACTGCATGAATTAGTCCTTATCTGGATTGAAGATACAAGTACTTGATTGGGAGGGTAATCATTATTACCAAAGTTGGAGTAGTGAGAAAGTAATAAATATGTGGATGGACTGTGATAAAGGATGGATTTTACTAGAAGCAGAAGCACCTCTGGCAGTGCAGAATGGAAATACTATAGAAAGGCAAGAATATGGAGGTTGTCTAACATTCT